ATCTGGACTTTGCAGCTTCTGCAGTAGGGAACAAGCCTTGCTTTCCACCCATCAAATCTAGAATTTCTAAAACAAAAGAAGTATACCAAGGTGACAAAGATGCAGAGTAACAATGGGGGGTGGGATGGGGAAGCAAGTATCCATAACGGTAACCTTTAGAAACATCAGTATCTTTGTCAAATTGTCATTCCAAAAGTTAATTTAATATTTATTTAGCTAGGAATTACTTAAACAGTTTATGGTGATTTTCATGATTATGTGTGACAAACACAACAGTCACCTGGATTCTCTCTTACAATCAATCTGACAAATGTATTGAATACCTGCTACATAGGAGGCCATGTGCTAAGCATTGTGCAGGATATAATAATACACAAGACACAAATCCCACAATCAAGAACTTCAAAACCTGGAAGGGCAAAAAACATTCATATACAAATAACGAGACAGAACAGAAAAAGTGTGGGGTGTTTTAAGAAGAATGATAAAAAAGAGTGCGAATGGAATGATATTTCTAAAGCGAGAGCGATTTTGGCTGAAGTGACTCTGGGATGCTACCATGCAAGACCAGCATTTGAGTAGGGTCTGCAAGATTAGGTCAGATCTGGAAACAAAGGGAGAGCACTAAAACCATACTAAGTGGAGCAAAGCTGGGAAAGAGCTTAAGCACAAAGGGAGAAAGTAGGGGGCTGTTCGGGCAACCAATGTGGACAGAAGGGAACCCCAGGAGAACATGACAGAGCATGTTTCAAAAAGCAAGTAGGCAAGTGACTACAAGACTATGCTCAAAGCATGCTGAGAGTCATGCTGCAGACCCTGTTTTGCACTTTATTTTAAAGGCCACAGGACACAAAAGGAATGTGAATTTCAAGAGAGTTGGCAATCCATGCCCCGAGAACCTAGACAACTTCTTTCTCTCTCTTAAGACAAAGACACTTTTCTAATGGGTGTTTGCCAGGACAGATCCCTGCCAGGTGAGCCCAGGGAATTATCCCTAATTCCCTCAAGCTCCTCTAGCTCCTGGACATTTGGATCAGATGAGAGGAGTAGTAATGCAATGTGGATCCCTCAAAATAATCGTGGTACATGAGATTCTCCCTCCATGTCAGTGGTTTTCAACTCTGGCTCCATATTGATGTCATCTAGGAAACTTTAAAAATAACTATTGCCTGGATCCCTCTCTAGAACAATTAAACAATAATCTATGAGGATGAGATCAAGGCATCAGAATTTTTTTTAAAAACTTCCCAGAAATTCTATTGAAGAGCGAGAAATTCTATTGAAGAGCCAGATTGAGAAGCTACTAGGTAATCCTTGCTAAACCCTGGTTTTATCCCTTGAGACCTGCGTGGGGGGATACTAGTTCAAGGTAATTACTGACATGCTTTCCTGACCCCTCATTTTCCATCCTGACCAAACATAGTTAAAGGCACCTACCTCCCCCTCCCCATGCAGCAGATCCACAGGCTGAACAGAAAGAATACCAACACAGTAGACACAGGCAACCAGGAAACACCATAATCCCATTTCAAAAGGCACCACCCAAATAAGACAGAAAAGAGACAGGACAGGAAGAACAGGTTTTTTAGTTTTTGAGTTTCTTGCTTGTTCGGGTTTTTTTTTTTTTTTTTTTTGGTCTAGGAACCAACTAAAGGATGCTTCCAGCCACAGAAGATTGGAACAATTTGGAAAAGAATAAAAATTAAACACCAAAATAGTAAAGAGTTCCTGCCCCTACCTCCTCAGGCAGAATCTCAGGGCAGGGGGAGAATGGTAGGTTTCTCTTGAAGTTGGGGCACCAGACATAAAGAGAACTTGTGTGATGCTTCCATTTGGAATTTCTGATGGCAATAGCTTAGTGGGTGTGGTTCATGCCACAAGATGGTTGAGAGTGCAGTGAAAGTGGTAGGTTCAAGCATGTGAGGATTCTGGAAGTCCCTGAGTTTTTTTTTTTTTTTTTGGTCTAGGAACCAACTAAAGGATGCTTCCAGCCACAGAAGATTGGAACAATTTGGAAAAGAATAAAAATTAAACACCAAAATAGTAAAGAGTTCCTGCCCCTACCTCCTCAGGCAGAATCTCAGGGCAGGGGGAGAATGGTAGGTTTCTCTTGAAGTTGGGGCACCAGACATAAAGAGAACTTGTGTGATGCTTCCATTTGGAATTTCTGATGGCAATAGCTTAGTGGGTGTGGTTCATGCCACAAGATGGTTGAGAGTGCAGTGAAAGTGGTAGGTTCAAGCATGTGAGGATTCTGGAAGTCCCTGAGTGTTCTCCAACAGCCAAGGGGAGATCCAAAAATTCCAACTGGTTCTGAGCTGACAGCAAGGCCCATGGGCTGCTGAAGGGGTTGGCAGTGGGACCTTGCATCGAAGACTTTGCAGGGTTGAGTCCATGAGGGAAGGGGGCCAAAGAGAACATGGTTGCATCTCAAGGAGGATGCAGTGCCAGGAAACCACAATGGAACATGTAATACAGACAGCATAAATGGCAGAATACATATATGCATATACATACATATATAACTACATTAATTATATATGTGTGTATATAATGCATAACTATATATTATTTGATACACACCCACACGTACAAGGCTTACAGTCAGAAAAGCAAGCCTGGCTTTGAGTTCTTACTCTGCCCTGTATTGTGTGACCTTGGGCAGGTGATTTAATTCCAGTTTCATTTTCTTCATGTGTAATATGAGTTAACAGCTGTCTCACAGATGGTCGGGAAGACTGAGTTAAAATATTTTCAATCACTCATTCCGCAAATATTTATTGAGGGCCAAGAGTTTTGCTGGCCACTAGCAGTACAAGACAGCACAGGTCCATGACCTTGAAGAGCTTACAGTATGTGTGTGGGGTGGGGGGTGGGGAAGAGATTTTTAACAAGTTGACACAAATATACACACACATATATAGCTACCAACAACGATTAACTATGAAGGAAAAAGCATACACATATACCGAAAGAGAATAACAGGACACACCAATGTACACTGGGGTTCTCATATATTCAGCTGAGATTTTAAGGACAAATTCACGTTAGCTAAGAAAAGAGTTCCCCGGACAGAGGGAACAGCAATCATATTTGCAGGCTCAGAAGTAGTAGAGAATGCCGGTTATGAAAGCCAATGAACCTGATGCACACAGCATGCAGCAGGAAAGATGCACCTAGAGAGTTAAGCAGGGGTCAGATCACCATGCAGCCTTGTAGGCCTGCGAAGAAGTTTGGATTCTATCCTAAGAGCAATGAGAACCCAGAGGGTTTTGATCTTGGAGATCTTAGGATCCAGTTCACACTTTAAGAAAATCACCCTGGTTGCCGTGTGGAACAAGGAGAACTGGAAAGGAGAAAGAGTGAAGAGTGAAGGCTAAGAGACCAGTTAGAAAGTAGTCTAGACGAAGTAAGTTAGTGGTTTATACTGGGGTGGTGCCAACAGAGAGAAGGAGAGGGGGCTGGGGAGGGGAGAGACACAGAGACACAGAGACACAGGGAGGTGGATGGATTCTGAAGTGGGAGGTAAGAGAAAAAAAACGCATCAGGATTGCTGCCAGGTTACTAGAAAGAACATCTGGGTAGTCATAGGTGCCCTTTACTTTGATGGCAAAGATTCGAAGTGGAAAAGATCTAAAAGGAAAGAGAGGGAATCAGGGGTTCATTTACTAGTATGTTTAATTTGTGCTGATGTCTATGAGATATCCAAGGGGAAATATCAAGAAGGCAGTTGAATACACAGATTTAGAGTACAGACAGGGGTTTAAAGGACTTTCCTGCACTTGACTGTACTTCTTTAAAAAAATTTTTTTTAAATTAAGTTTATTGGGGTAATATTGGTTAATACAATTATATTCCTTTAAAATTTTTAAAAATATTTTTCTTTGGCATCTGATCTTACCAAGGCATCTTTCACAGTCAGTGTTGTCAATGAAAGTGTAATAATAGCAGAGTACCGAAATATACTTACAGTCAGGAAGAGTTCTATTTACTTTAGAAACTTTATTTAGTCTGCCTTTGGTAATTCTGACTTTTCCCACTCACACAGGAAGTCAGGGGCAGCTAGTTTTGGGTTAGCTCACCATTCCCTTTATTGGGACACTATGGAATACGAAATCGATCATTGAGAGATAATGGACTTTCTTTCAAAATGTTCTGAACAATGAAATTTAAAAGCACAGATAATAACTTGTCACTGCTGGTAAACAATAGGTAGGAAATATGAATTCGCTCAAACTTGAGAGCTTTATCTCAATAGAACCCGGCTAGGGCCAGAGTGAAATAAAAACAGACAATCGCTGGCAAGAAGTACAGAAGCAAGGAGAGAACTGAAGATTCTTAAGACACGGACGCTGATCTCGCTCCCAACCCCGACCAGCCCAATAATAAACCCAAAGCCATGTTCATCTCTCTGGCAACTATTCGCAAGGTGTCATCCTCTGCTGGACCCCACCACCTACCCAACCCTCCAACTGGCCCTCCTAGGAGTCTGGAGGACGGGACAGCTGGCAGTAACCCACCCACGAGGCGGAGCGCAGAGGGAGGCTGCTGCTTGTCAGGAAGTGGCGTAGCTTTAGGCTCGAATTAGGCGCGCCGGCCCTGTGCTCTCTAACTTCTGGTGGAGAGGGACCCTGGCAGGCTGGCTCGGCCGCCAACCCCGCCGCCCTCCCCTTGGACTTGGGCCGAGGCCCCACGACTCTACCCTGACACGCGTTGCAGTTTGCCAGCCCTTCCCCCGCCCCCGCGCCCCAGGCCTCCCGGGAGGAGACTGGTGGGACGCCGCGGATGCGCCCTTCTCCGGCCAGGCAGCCTCCTCCCCGCTGGGCGCACCGGGCATGGGCACGCAGTACCTGGGGGTCTGGGACCCCGCCGGCTCACCCTCGCTCCACCGCCGCCTGCTTCTTCCGGCCCAGGACCGAAAGTGAAAGTGGAACCGGGGGAGCGGCAGGCGGGCCCTAAGGGCGCGTGGGCCCGACCCCTGGCAGCTGCGCGGGGAGCCCCGCTAAGGTCGGAGCTGGGGAAGGGGAGGCCCAGGAATGGTTCCGCAGGAGGAGACCACCGTTCCCAAGAGGGGAATTCACGAATGAGTGCTGCACACCAGGGAAGCAGTGAGGTTGCAATACAGGGGGGACCAGGTGGGAAGGAGCGCCCCTTTCTGAATGTGGATCATTTTCTCTGCGTGTGTCTGTGGGTATTTTTTTCATGTGTGGCAGCGGTTGTTGACTTGAGAGGGCGGGTGTTTTGGAGGAGACCAAGGCCTTACCGGAGCTCGCTTCCCTACCAAGCCAGGACGGGCTCCACCCCCATTGGACACAACTGGTGTCCATCATCTCGTCTTTGCAAATAGGCTGAGAGCTTTAGGCTTGCCTCGGAAAGGCACGCGAACCCAGACAAATTCTTTGATCCTGAAAAATTCTGAACCCTCTGGGCTTTGGGTAAAGGATTTCACTAGGAAACGCCTCAAAGGAAGAAGCATTGTTATAGATGGCCCCCGGAACTTGCCCACCACTCCCCATGGGGGATTTGGACCCCCAAAATTTGCTACTCCCCACATTAAAACGTCTCTTTTTTTTCAAATCAAATAACCATTTCTACCCTGCCCCTTGTTTAAAATGTACAAAAAAAGTTTGTCTTTAAACAGTTGAGTGTAAATGAGGTAACAAGCCAAGAAAACACACGTTCATACTCACCAAATGCTCCAAGTTGGTGGGAGTGCCGTGCGTGGTCCCTCTGGGACTTTCTCCTACTATATTCAGGCTTTCTCCTGTCACTTCCCTCTTACCTTCCTTCTCTTTGAGAACTAGTGTTTCAAGTCACTGAAACAGTATTTCTCCATTCTTTTTTCTCTAATCTTATGCTTCCTTTCAAAAAACATATTTTGTTCTGCATACTCCCTCCAGTCAAGGACATTTTGTAATATAAAATTAACACCTTGTCTCCAGGCCCAACCAGAGTGGGATCAAAGAAAGTTGTTTTTTTTGTTGTTTTGTTTTGTTTGTTTGTTTGTTTGTTTACTAAAATTCAACAAGAACCAGGGCATTGGGATCAGGTAATTTCACAATTGTGACAGGGGTGTCAGTGGTTAGCTATAGCCTCCAAAGCCTCCAGGTGTCAGTGAGTGATCCCAATTTGCTCAGATGAGAGCTTCTTATCCAGTAAACTCTTGTATTTCTTTGCTTTTATATTTACATTTTTTAATGCGATAGTTTCCTTTAGTTTTGAATACAGTTTTTAAAAAGATTCCGGATTTTAATCAAGAGAGGTTCAATTTTGCTCTAATTGATCAAATCAGTTCTGCCTTCATTAGCTTTTAGTCGATTCATATCAGCACTTGGCTTATTTCTTCCCTTTTGCTCCCAAAGCTGCTGCCATTTTGATATTACTATACTCCTTTTTGATATATTATCTTACTTAGAATCATGATACAGAAAACACACAAAAGCAGAGCTGCTCCAATTAAGTGGAACAGCCCTACCCATTCAGTCTTTTCCAGCTGCCTCCCAATGCCCGCCCCCCACACACCCCTACCTCCCCGCTCCCTGCCAACATACACTGTGGTCCTTGAGACACCTCCACAGGCTCCTTTGGCCCCAGAACTCAATTTTTTAAATATCAGTTTAAAAAGGAATAGCAATGCCCCTCATACTTGATATTCTTGGTACAGAAGATGACACTTTTTTTTTCCTATATGTCAAATTGCAGGACAGCTCTGCTCAATAAAATCTATACTATTTTATTAATAATCAGAAACAGGAAAGACGATATAGATGCCAAGTTAAAAGATAGACTGTTCTAAAACAGACACTGAGCTTATAACGACTAATAAATTCTAATAAATTATGAAATAAATTTACATAATACTCTTTCTTACTGGATCTTTGCAATGTATTTGTGTAGGTATCTTGGAGCTCAATTTTTCTAGAGTGAGGATTTGAAGATGGAAAGTGACCTACCAGGGGACACCACAGGAAGAGAGCCTGCTCTAAAGTTAAGCTAATTCACAGGAAAGCAGAGGTGACAGAGACAGAGACAGAAGGAGTAACCTCACTGAAGTCCTCGGGTGCAGCTGTCCTGAGCAAGTCCAACTCTTGGACTTTCCAGTCAAGAGAACCAATGAATTCATTTCTCAATTTAGCCAGTTTGAGTCAGGCTTCGGAAAGAGTCCTGAGTCACACTTATGGCAAGCACTAGAGAAGGGAGCAATGGGTGCAAGCTTCGTGGAAAAAACTAGAGTTCTTACCAAGTGGCCAAATCTGCTGTCAGGCTTTTGGGACTGCTGGGTCCTGCAGAGAATTCTGGGAGACTGGAGGACTGATCACATGTTTCTCGTTTTCCCTCCCTCCTCAGACACCTGTTAGATAAACTGCCACCTAAGGTAACCTGAGCATGTCTCCAGTTCTTGCAGCCTGATAGAATCGAGGGAAAAGTGGGTCCTCTTCCCTCCCTCGTTATCACTCTGTATTCCTATTGCTGTTCCCTTTGCTCATTTCAGTAAGAAGGTAAATCATCATAATAATATATTTTAAAATTTGCATTTCTTTCATTGCTAATGAGACTGATGCAGATTAAACATGTTGATTAGATGTTTTTACTTATTTCCTCTTTTGAGAATTATATGTTTATGCTCATTGCCCATTTATCTACTGGAAAATCATAGCTTAGTTATATAAAAATTATCTATGACACACAAGAGAAAACCACGAATCTATTAAAGATGTAAAGTATCACAGTCAGTAAGGCTCTGTTGTTTCAAACCAATCTCACAAATGTCTAGATGAATCCTGTCAAGTTCTTATAAAATCCAGCCCTGTGCCTATATTATTTGAGATGTTAGAGTTTACCTGATATTGTCAAACTAAACATTAAAGCAAATCTTACTTCAGAAAACCTAGTATTCATGCTTTATCTTGTCTATGTCACCCTCTGCCACAGCAACTGCACAAAGAATGAGTTATCCAGCCAGGAGTGAGTATAATTTCGTATATGCAAAAAGGAATAATTAGAATATTGGGATGAAAAAATAGATTTGTCTCCTGTTTTTTCCTAAAGAACCACAGCCTCGTGCTATCAAACAATTCTCATGCTCTCTCACATACTGAGGGAGGATGGAAGAATCTGCCTGCCACATCAGTGTTACTGCGCACTGAAGGTATTTCTGTTATTTTAACCAAAGGATGTGAACAGTCTATGTCCTTGAGGCAGAGAAGGATATATAGATCAGGAAAATAATCGATGAAGGAATAATTGAGAAAAAAACTGGAGAAATCCAAAGTACTAACCAGCTCCAGAAGCAGGGCCAACCCAAATCCATCTCAGGACAGAAGTTTGAGAATCTTGGCTGGTATCCATTACTCGCCAATATTATGAGGAGGGAAAGCATCTAGGACTGAGCAGGTGGATCAGCCAAAGATGTAAAAATGAAACTCTAGTTAAATTCATGAGAAATCCAGCCCTTCTGTTTCTGTAACATTGTGCTATTTTTTTTTTTCTCTTTGCTTCCCAGTCCTGGTGGTAGATTGCTAAACTTTTATAGAATCCAGTCCAACATTTCCCACTCTACAGGATAAAAATCATAAAATCATAGTACTGTATAGTAAAATTTTATATTATTCATTTAATCTCTATAGTACACTGCAAAGCAAATAAAATGTCCAAACTATTGAAGGCCTCTGTCTCTATCCCCTTCTCTTTTATCAGTTACATATTAATAGCTGCAGTGAGTAGAGGCAAAATAATGTACCAAAATAACTTAGTAAACTTGTTTAAAAATATTTATATATTTGTGATCTCCACCCTGAGAAATTCAGATACTATAGATCTTTATTGATATATACTATAAAATTCAAGGGCTAGTATAAGCTTTCGTTGAGGAAAAAAAAAAAAGGGCCTGATCACTGCTGCGCTAAAGAGTAAAGGATATTCTTCACACCTTAACCAGAAAAAGTGGGAGGATTCATGAACTCCCTAGGGCTGGCCCTCCAAAGCTGGTGGTATCAGCTGTTGGAGTTCTGGAACCTATAAGGAACTACTGGAGACAGTGCAGATAGAGAAAGGAGGAGAGGAGGACAGAGTCTGGAGTTTGCCATGGTTGTTAACAACTGTCAAGCTCCTTCCCTCACACCCTTCTTCTTAACCAGCTAAGAACTTGAGAAGTGCAAGCTTGAAGATCAAAGTAGGGAGACAGTGCAAGGAAAGGACTAGAGAGGCCATTCTGTTTGTGGTATTTGATCTCCTGAATCCTCAGTTTCGAAAGAGACTGAACAGTGAGAAATTAATAAATGTTAACTGTTTAAAGAGTACAAACTCTAAGGAGAAAGATGGCCCATAGATAGGAGAACTATAGGATCCTGCAGCTGTGGAGGGACAGATTACTAGCAAAAACCAGGGCTCATAATTAGTAAAGCAGAAGGCAAGGAAGCTCACAGTTGCTGGTCAGTCCAGAGCATGTAATGGGACAGAGAAGGGTGGAGAGTGGATCTGGAGGGCAAATAGAAGATCTCCAGCATGGACATTTTGAATAATAGCAGGTATTGCCTAGGAATCTAACTAACTACATTTCACTTAGGGACTGTGCTCACCTCCCAATTCACCTGTTCATTGAAAGCAATAATTCCAGCTTCACTTCATGTTTTGTATCCATGTAATTACAAAGAAAGGGGCGGGGGGAATAAAACAACCAAAAGGCCAGTCAGAATTCATTCACAGAGAACAGAATCCATTTAAGCCATTTAATCAGAAAAGGATTTATTCCAGGCTATTACATGACTTTCATAATCATTGGGAAGACTTAAAAAACACATGCTAGAGAGAGCTTCCAGGAACAAATCCCAAAGCCACAATATAGAACTTGGCCACCACTGATGCTGCTTCTTTTGCCATGACCCAGAAGCCATCTGTTAAATTGGGCAGCTGCTATCACAACTGCTGGCTCCAGAACCAGCCATGGATGTTACAGTCTGTCCCAATAAAGTGAATATCTCAAGCCCTGCTTCTCTTCCCACTTAACTAGTTCCATATTCAAACTCTTACGAGTGCTTCTGTTTGGCAGAGCCCAACTCACATCCAGAACCTAGGAGCAAGGGAGGCTAGGAAGTGAAGTATTTGCTTTCCAGACTGTGTGGGGTGAGGAATTCTGAAAGGAGTTTAGAAGATGTACTCAGTGAGCTAATCACATAATCACCACAAATGTTAAACTGTATTGAAGCTGAGCAAATAAAAAAAGAAATAAGATAATTATGAGGAGGCCTCAAGTAATTTTGAATGTTTTTATGGACAAGGAATCTTTTGGGGGGAAATCAATTGTAGGTTTAGATTATGAGAGGCCTGAGACACTCGGGAATGTGATAAATATTTAAATTCGTGATATAACTACATTACGAAGCATCAAGTTATGATTTGGTATCTTTTAAATGTCTCTCTAGGGGCTCTTTGTTTTCCCCCTTTGGTTGTTCAGCACCCCGTCTTTCCCTCCTGGTAAATGCATAGTCACACGACTGAATCTCAGTCTGGGATGAACATGGCACTCCCATGCTCTAGCTACAGTGATCCATCCAAGGATTGGCACATGAGCAAAGCCAGAGCAGAGGCCTTGCTCAGGATTAGTCTGGCTGAAGCTAACAGGGAAACTTTTTTTATTTTTCTTTGTGATCCCAATACTGAAAGAACGTGGCCTTAGAGTTAACCCACTGTTGGACAATGCCTAAGAAAGTGAAACCAACAGCAAAGTGGAAAAGAGAAATGAGAAGGCTGAGTTTGAGACACTCCTTTGTTGTATGAATTTTCAGATTTCACCCTTAGGATCTGGAGCTGTCTTCTTCCTGCGGCTGTTTCTACATTTTGTGAGCCATCCAGTATCCTTCCGATAAATTCACTCTTTTGGATTAAGATCATTTGGTTGATTTGGGTATCAGTGGCATGCAATTTTAAGAGTTATAACAAGTGGCAGTCTCAATTTTATAACTTACTAGTTCCACTAGTCACTTGAAGAATGGTAGTGTCTTTTGTGTCCCATGGAAAAGTGAGGTGCTTTTTTTTTCTTTGCTTCCTAAACATTGTTTGAGGTTGACCTAAAATTCCAGTGAAGCCTTAACTTGAACTATATTTCTAATCAACAAACTTGACTTAAGTAATTTTGATGTCACTCAGTTTTAGATAACCAGCTCCATTTTTAAAAGACTCACTGACCACTGTTGCAGCACAATCACTATGTCTTTACAATCACCAGCTGTGTAATCTGGAGAACTCCAGAAATGTCACTGATGATGGAAAAGAGCCAAAGAAAAACTACTGTGAGAACAGAAAGGAAAGAGAGCCTATGGATCCATGGGGACAGACTTTGTGAGTGTGTGTGTGTGACAGAGAGAAAGAAAGGAATCAACTTTTCCTTCTAATAACACTCAGGTGTGGTTTTTTTCCTTGCCTTTATGCTCCTTCGAAGCTCAGTTATATTATAAGTTTGAAATAAGAAAAAATCTGCCCCAGATTTGTCTTTTTGAACACTACAGGACCAAATCAGATCGGCATTAGAAATACGGCACAAAACAATCACTCTTAAGGAGGACTTAAATAGGAATGAGTTCTCAGGATTGACGTGCAGCTTTTCAAGCACCATGCACATTCGGAACAGATTCTGATATTCCATGGGCAACACTGTCACCTTCCAGGACATCATAAAAAAAGAACATATAGTACACTTTAATCAGTCATGAATTTAATATCCACTGTTTTGACTATTTTGAGGTGACCCGAAAGTCTAAAACTTGAATAGTTTGTAATTTTACTGAGTCATGAATTAGAATTACATGAATTGATGTGACAGAAGGAGCCAGTTGACCCGTGAGTGGGCCTGCCTCACCATTCAAAATCCACCCCGCAATTCAGTTCTGCTGTTGTCCACTCATCATTACAGGCACAGTCAATTTCTGAAGTGATAAAATCTAAACAAAAAAATTGAAGCTGTATTTCTAGAATTTTAGTAAGAATTTTAATTCTTAAGATACCACTTAAAGTTGTAAAATTCACTTGACTGCATTTTATGGGTATTTGAGATTAAAGTCTTGGAAAATTCTTGCAAAAGTCTGCTGTAGTCTAAACATTATTAGTTTTTCTTAAGTTGTTAAAGGTAGTATAATATGTGAGTGAGACCATGGAATTTTTTAGAGTGAGTCCTATAAAACTGCTACTAATTCTGAAAATGAGATTTTTTCATTTGTGCTCAGGTGGCTGCCTCTGCTGTAGTTCTTAGTCATGCCAGAACTAGTACAAAAATGCCTCTTCTGAAGGCCCTGGAGTTTTGTCTCTACACATAGATCGGATCCTGTTTGCCTGATTAAAAACTGTTAATGGCTTCTCTTGACACTCCCCAAGGTCTATAAGGCCCTATGTAATCTAACTGCTGTCCACCCTTATAAATCATCTCGTATCTCTCTTCCCTTCACTGGGTTTCTACCATAACAACCCTGTTTCATTCCCACAAACATGCTAAGCCATTTTTTGCCTCACACATGCTATTCTCTGAGCCTAAAACCTTTCCTCTTTTGCCAACAATTAGATTTCAACTTGAATATCATTTTCTCTTGTTGCAGAAAATCAGACCGGCAGGAAAACAAGCACCACTCAGAGAGTTGGAGAACTCAAGTTTATTACACTGGCAGTCCCAGAAGAGCTAGCACTCTGAAGATCTGGGCCCTGAGCTCAAGGGTAACCTTTCTTTTACAGGGCTTATCCACAGAGTTACAGTTGGCATGAGCAGATTGGTTAATTTGTCCTTAGGCAGTTACAGAGCACGGGGATTGCTATGGGCTACAGGCAATTAGATAGAACAAGCAAAGGGGATACATCTGTTATCTCGACAGAACAAGCAAAGGGGAGGGTGAGTCTTCAGTTAATCTC